GAGCACATTGTTTTAGTCAACTTCGTTACGCGTATGTTTACAGAAACGTCACCTTATGTCGCAACATCCATTAAGACTCGGACACACCAGGAATACAAACTAAATTTATTAGTTTATCAATCCGAATAGAAGACTATTATTAACACTAAGCGAAGGATATTGTACGTGAGATAGATTGACCCAACTCTAATTTGGAAAGTGTCAAAGCATAAAATGAATTCAAACTGGAAATGCATTCTTCCGTTAAAAGAAAGAACTCGCACTGTTTACTGCGAATCGAATGAAATAATATCCTGATCAATGGTTACAATGCACGAAGGAAGACAGTCCGGGCAACATTGCAAGGCAACATCAGTGTTAAGGCGTTTATCTTTTCGAGTGGAAAAGCTGGGTTATACATTTAGTAGACTATCAGATGAGGATTAACAGTAAAGGGTGGTACCATTATGTTTCCAGGCTGGATCACCCACCTGAGTATCTTGTTCGATCTTTCAGATACGGAGTGCTGGGTATGCATTCAATCATCGCACGCTGGTGCATCTAGTCATTCATTGTAGCTATACACGTAGACCAGGTATGAGAAGAGATGGGGTCAGTCGCCAGTGTACCTTACAATGTCAGGGGTATATTCTCAGATCAACCAGCTTCACAGGAAGTCCACTGCAATGGTGCAGCGGCTAATTAGCATTCAATCTCAATATTTGAGCCATAGTATGGATCAGAGAATACGGCTAATTACCTGCAAAAATTAGAGATCTTATCATGTAATTTGTATTGTCATCATAACGTTGGGTAAAAAAAGGGAATAAAGATCATTAGTTTTATAATTTTATAAGAATTCTGGTCAAAATCCGATAACACTGTTCCACACAGTTTGCTTACTTCATAATAACTTTAATTGCAAGCCAATAATTAGCTTCAGGATACAATATTTTGCTAAGATTGTCTTTGGGTTACACCCTATTTTCTGTTGTTGACAATATTGCTAATACAGACTGATCAGCACCAAATTGACTTACCAAACCCAAAGCAATTGTTTGTGAAATTCTTCTAAATTCATAGTTGACAATTGCTTATTTCTAGGGCATACTTTATATCTCAAATTGAACATGAAGGACTAATTCATGGGTATAATTTTAAAAAACTTCGTAACATCTGATGTTTAGCCAGTCACTTCTGCATTACAAGACTCAACTGTATTGATTGTTACTACCTTTACAAATTCACACCAATTTGGCAATAAGATTCCAACGAAAACCTCCCAGCTAGGATGAATCTCCATTGCAGTAGATGGCCTTATTTTACAGCTGCAAATAATTCACAAGAAACAAAAAGCAGTAAAGGTTCAATTTCAGAGGATAAGAAATTCACGTTTAAAACCATGAGGTTGAAGTATGAATCAGAAAGTTTGCTGATATTTCGCAGGACTTTTTTTTGTTAAAACATTTTCTGTATGTGAAGATCAATAGTCATGAAAACGTGAGTAATCCAGAAAAAATTCAGTCTGTGAAGAGGTAAAATTTTTCTTCAGGAAAATAATTTTGTCACAAAAACTAACCAGCATGCAATCATAATAAGAAATTCAAATGAATTGATATAATTCGATTCGAATAAGTTTTTAAATCCACTTCAATCAGACACACATTTAGCTTGAGAACTTCTCATCAAAATAAATGATCCTGTCAAAGCAACAGTTTACTTTCATACTCAATACTATTAAGAAGGGGGAAACAATGTTCGTCCATAAAAATTAAAAGCATGATGCAGGATACCTCGTCCTAGGGCTCTCTCCAATGTATCATGTTTTGTCTCTTAACTCTAGGCCAGATATCCATATAAAAATATATACCTACCGTGTCACGGCTGAGTTAACGCCTCCTCAGAATATTTAGCCATATGTGTCTCTCACCATTCTCTGTAACCTTGCGAACATATCCATTTCCTGTCCTGAAAGCAATAAAACAACAGCAGTCCTACTCGAGACTCATCAATAATCTAAACTGAAATTTACATAATGACTGGTTATATCATACAACAAGATTGGAGACTAAAACTAATCAAAGATGACAAACAGAAATGAGAAAACTACCTAACCAAAGAAAGCTATTCTTCCCGCATACAGGTAGAATTTTTGAGTAAGTATCTCAAGCCATAAAAACGTAAAGAATTTTGCTTTCTTTCCTTATACAATACCCGAAAATGTTTAATAATTCACACAGCCAAAACTAGCACAAAAGGTAACCTTTCAAAGAAACTTTTGATTAATAACATGAAGGACCCGAAGACAAGGCAGCAAGAATATACCAGCCTTGAACCAATATTATCACAATATGCGATTTATCAAAGATTGACTACAGACATAGAAACATGAATTAAATTTCAAGCTTCAAATCACATGCATGGCCTCACATTTCTCTCAACCAACAGAAAATAATTAACAAGCACAGTAAGATAGGTAACCTTATTGTTCTCAAACTTCACGCACCAAGTTGAAAACTTTCAGAAACCCATTAGAAAGAAGTTAAAGGTTCAATAAATGAACAACCATGATGGAAAGAATTAAAGCTAAATACGAATTGGGAGAATTTAATCAGTGAAACAACAATCAAATAAATTAGAAAAAAAAAAAAAGGGTGGAGCACAATAATTACCGCAGAATCGGCGATAAATCTCAATGTCAAAATCATCAAACGAAAAAGAAATCGTAAAAGAAACGAAGGAAAAAGAAGGATTTGGATTTCATGATCCCTCATACAGCTCCGGGGAGATTGTTATTTATTGGGTGTTGTTTGAGAGTTTCCCTCCTAGGAAGAAGGAGCGTGGCCCTCTCTGGTCTCCATAAATCACGAAATTGCGAAAACGATTCTCAGCCTACGGACGCCGCTGCTTCTCCTCTCTCTCTGGTTTTATCTCTCCTATTTGAGTCGGATGCCGATGTTGGTATGGGTAACGTGGAGCGACAGAGGCTCCAGAGAGATTATACAGCTCCGGGGAGATTAGAGTTTCCAGGAAGAAGGAGGTGGTTGGCCTCTGGTCTCCAACACGACGCCAATTATCAGCTACCGACGCCCTTTCTCTTTCTCTCTCTCTGGTTTTTCTCTCCTATTTGAGTCGGATATGTTGATGTGTAAGTTTGAGCGACAGAGAGAGAGAGAGAGACTGAGAGGAGAGAGAGAGGATGTTGTGAACCGGATCTGCCAGTCTCAGCCCAGAGTGTTGGGCGGGCTTTATATTGGTGGGCATCGGAAATTCGGTTGGCTCAATCCGAAAGCTAGAAAAAAAATAAGCTAATACAAGAGTGCAGAGTCGAAAAGAGTGCGAAAATTCGGTTGGCGTATCCAAGTTGGTTATAACAGCGTATTTTCTTTTTGCATTTAAGTTTAAACTCTATTTTTCTAAAATTTAGATTTTGTATTTAAGTTTAAATTCACTTTTCTAAAATTTAGATTAAAGTAAGGGAAATTTTATTTGAATCCACGTAACTTATATCTACACCCAGTTTACTCACTACATCCATATTATTTTTAATTAAACTATCAATATATTTTTAAACCCAAATTTATTACCTAAACTACCCTCACAAACTCAATTCAATATGTAAATTTATCTTTACACCCATGATATTAACTTACTGAATTTGGGTTCTTTCCGAGTTTTCTGATTGCGGTGACGGCGAAGTCTCCCTCTCTCCCTCTCTCCTCTCGCTTTCTCCTCTTCATTTAATATTGGAGCTTCGTCATCTCTTAGAATATGCTCCCCTGAGCTTACAAGAATGGAGTAAGCAAAGGAAATCTCATCTGCTCCTTTCTTTTTCGTGGAGCATGATGCAGCAACAAATATTGATCATGTAACAAATAAAAGAGTAGGCTGAGATTTGCACATGAAGAACCAAAAAATGAGTGTTTCTTTGACAGCGATGGCCTTCAATTTTCACGAAGATCAGACAGAAGATAGTCCCTACTCGTGGGATAAGAGAAAGGATTTATGCATAAGCGTCATTACCAGCTATTATCCTATGATTCTGTGCACCCAGCAACGTAAATATTTTCTTCTGCTTTCCCTTCATTTGTTGCAATTTTCACCATGGATCTTGCTTGTTTTTTGGTTGTATCATGGTAAGAGTTTGATTATTGGATTTTGGGTTCGTTGATACAATTTTGTTTTATTGTTAAATTCATTTTGTACTTTATGGTAATAATGCAATAGGGTCAAAAAGACACTTCTCATTTAAAATTTAAGCTGAGGGTAGAAAGAGGTTGCATGGGTTCAAATAAAACTTCCCTTGAAGTAATTAGAATATGATTTGAATTAAAAGTGCTTAAAGAGTGATTTCTTCTGCACCCTAATCAGAAAACATTTTTATCTTTAATTGTAAACAATCCGACAAGTATTTTTTAAACAAAGTATTGAATAATTAAACTAACTTCATCTTATGAGAAGAGGAATTCGAATCTAGGTGTAAAGTGGACACCACAGCTGTAGAAGATTTGGTCTAACAATGCGAGTTTTAATTGCAAATTATTAGCTTATTAACGCCTTTATTTTTTAGATATTTTTAGTTATCTTGAATTTCAATTCAAGTATAATTTTTGGAATGTTAGGGTATGTCGGTAACATTTTACAAAACGATTTTTTAACTGTTTTGTAAAACGAATGACAAATAGGATTTGAGAATGCGTATGGTATTTTAGTTTGAAAATGATTTCGTAAAACAAAAACATTGAAAACGCATCTGGTATCAAATGTCAATATATATTATAAAGAAATTTATGTTTGGTAGTAATAGTTGCCCTGGTGGTAAGAATGGTGTTGTTGAGACGAGAGTGGTGTTGATACAAATGATGGTTGGAATAGGGTAGTAGTAGTGAGAATAAAGGTATTAGCAGTGGTGGAATACAAGTGGTGGCAATAGCAAGGTAGAGGGCAATGGGGAAGTGAATGATGGTGGTCATGGCAATGGTGGTGGTTGCGACTGTGGTAGAGGATGGTTGTGTGTAACAATGGTGATGAATGATGGTGTGAAATGGTGGTTGGGAGGTAGGGATGATAGCGGCGGAGATGGTGGAGGTGGTGGTGGCTATAGTGAGAGTAATGGGTTGGAGAATGTGGTGACACTATGATGATGGTGGTGGTGGTGGTGGTGATGGTGGTAATGGTGGCAGTGGTGGTGGCCACAACAATGAGATGGTGGAGGTAGTAATGACCATGGTGGTGGTGTTATGGCGATGCATAACATGGTGGTGGTGATGGTGGCATGAAGGTACAAGTTTTGGTGGTCATGTTAAGATGTACAGTGGCAGTAATGTAGATTGTGGCATCGTTGAGACAATGGAGGTGGTGGTAGCCCTGGTGGCAATGTTGATGATGGTTGAAGATATCATAGTGGCACCAATGGTGATGGGAGGTGGCAGTATAAAAAATTATGGCCACGGTGAAGGTGATGGTGAGATGGTGGAGAATGTGGTGGTAATGGTAATAATGACCATAATGGTGGCATACATGATTTTATTTTATAATATATATTTTATTTTTTATTATTTTGAAAACTGCTTTTGAAAAACAAAGGAAACATCAATTTGATGTTCTACAGAACTTAGACTAAATATTTTTTTCTCTGCGTTTTTCGTTTTCTACCATATTTTCACAAAATAGTCTACCAAAAGTCTTTTTTACCCGTTTTGATATCTGAAAAATGAAAAATAGTTTTGCAAAACATTAGCTAACGGACCCTTAGCTTCTTTCCTTATATATTTTGAAAAATGGATTTTGATGTTGGAAATTGTAACCTTATAGTTAACATGACCAAACTAAACTATTTTCTCTAGGTGGGAAGCTTGCCTTATTTCTTCAAAGAATTAACTTTAATTGGTACCGCACCCTTTATATTGGCCTAAATCTAACTCCCTACTCGGTCTTTTCGCTCTCTTTAATTCTCAAAGCTTCAAAGACGACAAAAGCAATGTCTTCCCAATCGCAACCCACCGGCCCTTCCACCAACCCACCACCGAACACTGCTACTCAACCGACAGCGTCCTCCACACTACACGCACACAACGTTGACTCCGACAATACGTCCGTTGTACTAGCCCTACCAGCTACCCCAGCGATGGCAGAAGAAGGAGGACCACCCCAACCCAACAGTTTCCTCCACTCTTATTTTTATCCAAATCCCCCGCCCGCCGCTGCCTTGGCGGCTGTGGCGAGCTTGTCGTTGGTGACGGCCTTGGCCGGGGCGACCCAGGCGTCGATAGAGGCCTTGCCGAAGGTGACTGTGACGGAGGAAACGTCGGCGGAGTGCTGTATCTGCCTGAAGAGGTTGGAGGTCGGGGAGGAAGCCAAGGAGATGCCATGTAACCATAGGTTTCATCCGGTTTGCATTGATAGCTGGCTCGAGAGGCGTCCTTCCTGCCCGCTTTGCCGGTTTTCGATGCCTACGAGGGCGGAGGCGGCCGCACAAGGGCGAGGACATCAGACCAACAGGTGGGATTCGATTGAAATGGTTGATTAGGGTTCAGTGAGTGCTAGAGACTCATGGAATAATAATAGTATACATATTGTCGTGTTAATTTTTTTTTAAAATGTTGTGTTACTTAATTACTTTAAATTAGGTATTAGATCATGTTTGTCTTATATATATATATATATATATATATATATATATGAGTAAGACTATATGACACTAGTATTTTTTTTCTTCTTCTGGTACGAATACATATTCATAATAATTTTTTAAATGATTTGATTGTTTATATTTTCATTCATGACTATTATTCAAAATGTTAAAAAAAATCAAAACTATTAAAGACATCAGACTATAATGAAAAATAAATAAATTAATAAAGAAATACCAATATTACTACTATTTAATCCAGTGATTAAATAATTACGAATTATTCAATGGTTGGAACATATTGAACATTATATCATTCTCATCCTTTTTTTGTGGTGGCCCGTGCCAACTAACTACGAAAACACCAGAAGCATGAATATTATCATTTTCTCATACTCTTTAATTTTTTTTTTTCACTTTACACCTTACTTTTTAGAAGGCTGTACCTAAATGACAACATGAATGACTTTCTGTCATTATAAAGCACTGTATTACATAAATCTTTTGTGAGACGATTGGGACATTATGATACATAATCTTTCAAAGTAAAGACGTAAGTGTGGGAGGCCTCAACTTTCTCCGAAATTACATCTCCAATTCATGGTATTTTCTAAGTCACTGGCCTTTTTTTCAGCCAAAATAGTATCTCATGTTAGCATAACTCCTCATTTTAGTTTTTCGAGATTTAAAATCAATAAAAGTAGTTTTTAAGATTGTCCACTGTCAATCATTTTGATCATTATGTGGAAAGTGGAAAGTCTCTATTAAATTGAAGAAACCACTAGTTCAAGTGGAGGATTTGATTTGACAAAAGTACCCTCAATTTTAACGGAGAGTTTTCAGGAATGATTATATGATTGGTAGTGGACAATTTCAAGAATCACTTCTATCTATCGATTTCAAATTTCATGGACCAAACTGAGGAATACCAATCTTGAAAACCATTTTAGCTAAAAAGCCGGCCAGCAAAAAAACCAAACCTTAAGTTTTAGCATAAACCAAGATGACGATTTAAATAGCAGGTTTAAGCTAATTCAGGGCGTTACTTCGGATGCCGTATCCTCTGCGGATAATAATGCAATAATCGCTTGTACCACTTTGGCTTTCACTTTCGTAGTCTGGCAATCTGCGTCCAACCCTGCTCAGGTTTGTTCCTCGAATGCATTGGCTTGATAAGGAGGTTAGACCTTTTGCTTTTATGGGCGCCTCATATTCTAGCTGAGCTTAGAAAACTGTAAGTATGGGGGGGATGGTGCTCAGTTTTGCGGGGTTCAATTGCTTATGTGCTACTTTCTTAGGTTTTCGGTTTTTTGAGCTCGTGCAGAAACTATGAAGATATCGCTATGTCATTGCTTGTTGCTAACGCCACATGTGAAAGTTTTTGCATTTCGATATGTCAGCATATTGCATTGTCGACGAACTTTGCATTCACCAGTAGCTTAGTTAGTTATTGATGGAGGCTCTTGTTGAAACTTTTGTCACCTTTTCCTTGTTTGGAAACATATTCACAAACAAAAAATTTAAGCACCTTTGCCTGTGAAGAAAATCAAAGAGAAATTAATTAATTTTTTCTCGATTCAACGAACAGGAGCTGCTATCCACCCCACCTTAACAAATACTACCGAAAACTGACAACTCAAGCTGTTAAAATTTCCCAATCTTTGGACATGTTTTGTTGTGATTGCCGCCCTTAAAGGGTTTTCCCACTCTTCCTACACCACATACAGGCCACATATGAAGAAAGAATGGGTGAAAAAAGGAAAAGAAAAAAAAACTAAATAGAAGAGCCCTGAAAATATAGAGACCAGCTGGAAACTCGAAAGAATCACAAACAAAACACCATTTCCTCCCAAGTCCGCAGTCTTACTACCTTCATTCACCTCAATCTTCATGTAGTGTGGGTGCTGACGATGCGCCAAATACCTTAATCCTCATTACCCCGCGCCCCACAGATGCAACAACCCCATATCCTCCCACCTCTCCTGGAGGCTGCCAGCGCCTTCTCCTCCTCTTCCTTATAGCTCGACTCCTCAAGATCACTCAAAGTTTCCCCAACAGCCACGGCCTCATTTTCCTCGTCCACCATAACGCTCAAAAGTACAGTGCTCTGAAATTGAACCGAATCCCCCAAAGTGCTGAGGTGGGAAGCTGTTGGCCCATGGTTGTTGTCTGGATGTATACCAGTTCCCTCTATGTCAAGGTGCTCCAAATATTGCTGCCTTCACTCTTCTTCCCCATAGCTTGACTCTGCAAGATCACTCAAATTTTCTAAATCATCGCTCTAGAGGACTCCCCCATCAGCCAGCGCCTCCTTGTGCTCATACTTGAGCCTGCAATATCAATCAAAGGTGCAGTGCTTCGAAACTGAGCCAACTCCCCCAAAGTGCTGAAATATCGCTGTTTTTTACCAGTTCCCTTTACATCAAGGCGCTTCAAATACAACAAGTCCTCAGGCAACTTAGAAAGTTTTGAGCACCCACTGAGAGTGAGCCATTCAAGACTTAACAAATTGCAGATACTGTCCGGAAGATAGACAAGGTTTTTGCAGTTTTTCAGATTTAACGACACAAGCCCCTGAAGCCGTTCGATTGATTGGGGAAGCTCTCTGATAGATGTTTCATCCAGATCAAGGCTGGCTAATCTTTCCATATTTTCTACAATGTCCGGAAACACCTCAAACTTTGTACAACCAGAAAGAGAAAGATAATTAAGGGACTTGAGTTGACAAATTCTGCTTGTCAGACGCTTAAAGCCTTTGCTATACCGTAGCGTCAAAGTAACAATCCCGGTAAGATTATAAATTACCGATGGCAATTCTTTGATTGCAATCCCTGAAACATGAGGAAGCTGCTGAAGATATTGGTTGGTAAAGGTTCGATGATCTTGAATATATCCTTCATGCTCTGTAAGATTATTAGATGTTGTTGAGTCTAAAGACGAATCTAGCTCTGTAGGTTTTTCAAATTTTGTTGAGTAAACAAACCAATCTAAGTGAAGCTCTGATAGGTTCTCCATAACTTCTAGAATCATAGGAAAATTCATCAGATTTGAGCAGCCAGAAAGATTTAGGGCTTGAAGAGATCTCATATGAATGCTGCTTGGAAGAACCTTAAATCTTTTACAACCCTTCATGTTCAAAGTAACGAGCCCCGTAAAATTTTTAATGGATGATGGCAGTTCTGCTATTCCAGTCCCATCTACATAAAGCTCTGATAGGTTCTCCATAACCTCAGGAATTTCTGGAAACCTCTCCAAATTTGAGCAGCCAGAAAGATTAAGGTTTCGAAGGGATCTCATATGAATGCTGCTCGGAAGACTATGAAGTTTTGTGCACTGCTCCAGACTCAAACGCTCAAGGTTTTGCAGAAAGAAAATTGATGGGCAAAGCTCTCTAACGGATGTTTCATCCAGGCAAAGCTCTTTTAAACCTTCCATATTTTCCACATTTTTCGGAAAGGCCTCAAGCTTTGAACAACCAGAAAGATAAAGAAATTTAAGCGACTTGAGTTGAACAATGCTGCTTGGAAGCATCTCAAGCTCTCTGCAACATTCAAGGTTTAAAGTAACAAGCCCCGTAAGATTGTTAATTGATCGAGGCAGTTCTTTCATCGATGTCCCTCGCAAACACAGCTTTGAAAGCTTCTCCATAACTTCTAAAATCTCTGGGAACTTCTCAATGTTTGAGCAAAAAGAAAGATTAAGGGTTTCAAGAGATTTCATACAACTGATGCTTGAAATAGTCTGGAGTCTGTAGCACCAACTTAGATCCAAGAGGACAAGTTTTTCGAGAGCCCAAATGGATGGGTGAACCTCAGATAAACTTGTACAACCATCAAGAATTAGTTTCTCAAGATTTCTTGCCTTGGTGAAGTCGGGAGTTTCTTCCAGTTGAGAGCCTTTTAGATTGATAACTTTCAACTTTTCGAGAGGCTGTCGAAAAACATTCGCAAAAACATATGTTACATAACAAGGCATAACGAACTAAACACAGTTAAAGGAAACATATATATGTAAATGATGAATTAATGTACGTACCTTAGTTCCTTTCCAAAGGTGTTCAACGCGACTATATTGCATGTCAAGGTCAACAAGATTCTCCGGGTTAAATTTGGATGACAAAAACTTTAGAGGGCAATTGGGCCAGAAAAGACAACTTAACTTTCCAGAAAGAAACTTTAAATCCTCATATTGGTTTTCATCAACCATTGGGTGTTTTGCTAGTAAATAGTACGAGTGGACTCTGAGTAGTCTTAGTTCTGTCATTTTAACAAAAGCCATATTTAATTCTACTACATTGTTTGAATGCGGCCAACGCACAATTATACTTTCAACTGCTTCAGTTGCCTGGATAACCAAAAATTACAAATTGAGTGAGTACAAACCTAATTAAGAATGTAAAGCTAGTGCATGTTTCTCATGGATTTGTTCTTGGTCAAAGTTGAAGCTTTATTTATACTAATGACTTCTACTTAAGAAAAAAAGGAGGTCATGAATATAATGTGTATCTTACCGTATTGTGATTTAACACATGACAGACATCTTCATATCTCCACAACCTACTGCGCTTCCCAGGCTCTTTCATACATTCTTGGCGGACAATTTCGCAACCCATTTCCTCTAGTAAATCATGCATCTCGAGTGTACCGTCAGATGAGATAACTACAAGAGCTCTACCAACTAGAACTTCTAATCCAGTATGGGGATGGAAGCCACAACCCTCCATAATGCTTGTTGCATAATCTTTTTTCATTTGTTTAAAGAAACATGCAATATCAAGAAATATTTCCTTCTGTAAATCGTCAAGTCCATCGAAGCTCGTTCTGAGGACTTTCTGAATTCCCAAGTGCGGGGTTCTCTCGATTTTCTTTAACTCGTCTTTCCACACAAGTACACTTTTGTTTTCGAGAAAAGCTCCCAAGATTTTAAGTGCTAAAGGCAGACCTTGAGCATATTTTATCAAATGGCTTGACAAATGATTGTATTCTCCTGTGGGTTGCTTTGTACTGAAAGCATACTGCATAAAAAGTTCAAGAGCGTCGTCGTCATTTAACAATTCGGGCTTATATCTGATCACCAACTCTACTTAGCGATTGCCTATCTCGAGTTGTTATAATGATTCGACTTCCGCCACCAAATGAAGGTTGTTTTCCGATTAAGGCTTCAATTTGGGTTGAATTCTCTACATTATCAAGAACAAGTAGAACTTTTTTCTTACCTACTCTTGCCATCATCTTCTGAAAACCATATCTCAAAAGCTCTGAACTCCCTAGCCTGGTATTCGTGATACTAGATAGAAGTTCTGCCTGCACATCGAGTGGTGCTTCACCTGCATCAAATGTCGGGAAACGTTCCTTGACATTTTCGAGAAAGCAGCAACCTTCAAAGTGATGATTGCTTCTGTCATACATAGCTCTGGCGATGGTGGTTTTGCCTATACCGCCCATACCCCATATTCCAACAAAGCGAACATCATTCACCTCGGGACATAATAGTGAATCCATTTTCTGTAAGCGGGAATCCATTCCAACCAAGCCATTCTTTTCACTTGTTGAGATGTTGATCAGTTTCTTGAATATATCTTCTACGATCAACTCAATAAGCTTGGCATCATCCCTGCAGAATTCGAAAAACAGTATTATTATAAAGTATCTGAGCAACAAGCAGTAATGTCGAAAACAGGAAACTAGCTAGAATTCCAAACCCTGACAATTAATAAGATCATGAAGGAGTGAGAGTTACTCGTAATTTCGTGAATCCCAGCCAGATAAATTGGGGACTCTTCTCAGGGCGGAGCTCCAGCCCTGCACCTCTTCCATGCCGGCGTTAGAATCGTGTTCATGTTTAGAAAAAGCTTCTGCAAAACTTCCCTCGAGTTTACGAACATGAGATGGATCTACTCCGTAGAAAATAGGGACCACTATCTGCTCATGCGTATCCATGCAGTGCAGGATGTGGACGAGTTCTTTTAAGCACCATCTGGAAGAAGCATAGTTTTGAGAAAAAACTACAATCGAAAGCCTCGAGCCGCTAATAGCTTTTAGTAGCTGCGAAAGGTCGTTGCCTTTTCTAAGCTCTTGGGCATCAATGAAGGTGTTGATTGAGTTGTGAACTAGAGCTTTGTACAGATGGCCGATGAAGGTCTTTCGAGTGTCTTCCCCTCTAAAATTCAGGAACACATCATATTTCCAATCAATAGCAGATGAAGACGACGATGAAGAAGCCATTGACAAGCACAGGATCGACAGCCTCTAAAGAAACTCAAGATTGCAGGTCAACGAACCCATTCATTGTTCTCACTGGAAAATAAGATCTTCAAGGGGGAGCTTGGAATTGACAAAAAGAGAAACGGCCGGCTTAGGCTAAAGTCCAATTTCCATTTTTTAATTGCATCGGAATGGACTTGGATTGTCTGCCCTCCAATTTCTGTGCCCTCCCGTGCCCTCCTGTTTTTGTGGTCACGGTTAAGCCACGTCAACATTTTATATTACTATTTCTTTTTGTTTTATTATTTTTATAAAAAAATAATATAAAATATTAACGTGGCTTAACCGTGACCACACAAAACAGGAGGGCACGGGAGGGCACTTAAATGGGAGGGCAGACAATCCAAGTCCCATCGGAATTTCCAATCAAAACTTTTGGAAAAGTTTAATCAATATCTCAAATTTTTGGAACATTTGTGCAATTTATTTTTCTTTTTTAATATTTAGTATGTTTAAACATGTATACATTCAATTGATTCGTAGTATACTATGTTCATCATTTCAATATATAAATGTACGTTAAATGTAAAAGCTAATGAATAAATTGTATAAAAAAAATAATCAAAATACAGAATTAAATAATAAAGAAACAGAATTAATAAATAACCATAAAATATTTGAATATTTAGAAAAAATATTTGTCACCATAAGTTGGAAACATAAATTTGAAACAATTCAGGTCGAAAGTTCAGAATTCCTATATGCATTCCAATTTCCATATGGATTCAGAAATGTTTTTATTCCAATTTCCAATTTCTATATGCATTCAAATTTCCATATGGATGCATCCAAGTTTCAAAAGTAATTGGATTCAAAACGGAAATCCAATGGCGGAATCATAAATTTCAATCAAACTTTGCACCCCTAATTAGTCATGAGTTAGGACAGTTAATCACATTTGAGTTAGGACAGTTGTATGAATGTGCTTGTTTTTAAGGTAATTAACGTGCTTGTTTATTTACATTTAAGTTTAAATTTTTCTCCCCGTAGTTTATAATTTACAATATATGTTATCAAGTAAAAGAAAAGTTACTCTTTTCAATAATTTTTTATCCTTGGTCTGATTGCATCTTCTGCTCTCCTCCAAAAACAAACCAAAGAAAGGTTTCCTACAGAGTTTGGGAGATGGACTCGTCCTTCACGATGCAGGAAATAGCATGCCTTTTATATACAGAGGCCAAGTACTCCTCAATAAGCAAGCAAATAATCAAGGTGTTTAGTAATTCGGAGGAATTTTACTCGAAGACAACAACGATGTCCCAAGAATCCAGCAACGCGTCTGTATTTGCGGCGGCATCCATAGGATCACTCATGGAGGAAGCATGGACGACGAAGTCTTTGCTGTCGGATAATTACAGTATTTTCTCAGAAGGGTTGAATGGTGAAGAAGCCAATAAGGAGATAACAATGGCTTGTATTCGAAAATCAATAAGTAAGCATATTAATCAAACCGTGTCTGATAATTCGGAAGACGTAAAGATAAAGACCAGGATGATGTCCCAAGAATCCAACAATGCTTCTGTAGCGACGGTGGCATCCATAGGATCACTTATGGAGGAAGCGTGGATGATGAAGCCATTGTTGGATGAGTGGCAATGCTGCAGTATTTGCACGGAAGGCTTGAATTGTGAAGAAGTCGATAAGGAGATAACATTGCCTTGTAAGCATAAGTTTCACTCAGCTTGTGTTCGAAACTGGATCGCCAAGCGCTCTTCCTGCTCGCTCTGCAGGATCAATGTTAAACCTGCCATTCCACTCTGCAGGATCAATGTTGAGCCTGACGTGCCGGCAATGATGGAAGAAGACGATGAGATCAACATGCGGGTGAATATCATCACCAATATGGCTCAAATATGGCACTTTCCTAGTCTTTGAAGATGTTCTTGTTTTATGTCAACCTTTTCTTATTCATCATATGCCGTTTCCTATTGATATGCAGTTTCCTATTGATATTTTACTTTAATTAGTTTGTCTTTTATATTTTGTTAATACGTTGATTTATATCATAACATACTTTTTTTTTTAATTTTGAAGAAAAAATAATTGGCTCAATAGACTAATAAGGATTCAACGTGAAAAAGGAGTGTCAGTTGTCGACTACCTGACACCCTCCACTCTTCTTTATCCGAGCTTGGTACCGGCTGTGTAAGATAAACTTACATAGGACAACAATTTTTGCAAGCAATATGAAGAAGAAGAATAAAAAGATCTTGATTCTATTCATTGGTCTTTATTCTTTGTTTACAACATATAGTATTTAACCCTAAGGCTGAGAGAACTCGTACAACAGTTTGCGGAAGTGATTTTCACATTCTCTTTTTTTCGTTACACTCCACTCTCTATTTTGTAAATGTACGATTAAATAAATCAAAGAGGAATCAAAACACGAGTACATAAATAGCTCTGCCATCACCAGTAATTTCCACAAGAGCAACTCCCATCCTTGAAATGGTGGAATCTGCTGGCGTCCCTCACTACGATTTCCCTTCCCGTAACCCTAGCAATTAACATAACCGCAGAATGGCAGTCTCCGCAAATACGGTGACTCTGCACAATTTGCAGTGGCGTCCCATCCGAAGTACTGATCAGACCATAAGCTATGGCTAGTTTCTCGCTGTGGTAAAACGACGTCTGCTCATGTTCATCGACATCAGGAAGTGGACACTTCTCCTCAGGGATGTAACCGTGTTTTGAAATCTTGATCATCAAGTCATCCACTTTCTGGTAAATCTCTCTTGTTTCAGCGTGGCTTTTGTCTCCAGAACGAAAAATATTTACCTGTTTTTTAATTTCAATCCAAGTGCATGCCGGAAGCATTCTCAAACCCTTTCTTCTTAAAGTCTGAACAACATCGGCAGCCTCCTTCAACTTCCCAGAACTGTTGTATATATTTAAGAGCACAATATAATTACTTAGCTTATCAGGTTCCATCCCATAAAGTTTCTCTGCAGCGAATTTTCCGAGCTCTAAATTCTCATGGACTCGACAAGCTGTTAGCAGGGCAGCCCACATATTTGCTGTGGGATCAAAGGGAGCGTCTCTTAATAGTTCATAAGCTTCATCTAAAAGCCCTTCTCGACCTAGCAATTCAATCATACAAGCATAATGCATTGCCCGGGGCTTGATCTTGTGATCCCTGCTCATTGCGTCAAAAATCTCCCATCCGCATTCTGATAAACCAGAATGACTGCAAGCAGACAATACAGCAAGAAATGTAACATGGTTAGGTACCATTCCTTCCTGAAGCATCTTCTCAAACATCTCAACAGCCTCGTCACCCCGACCATGATTACCATATCCAGCGATCAAGGCATTCCAAGATATAACATTCTTGAGAGGCATCTGGTCAAAAACATGACGGGCGTCTTCTACTCTTCCCCATTTGCAATAGAAGTCTACAAGTGATGTGTTCGCCACTATATCTAACCCAAAACCGTGACGAACTAGACCTGCATGAGCTTGCTTAGCATGTTCCGGTGAAGCCAACCTTGCACAGATTCTTATGATCATAGAAAATGTGAAATGGTCCATCTTAACACCAGAATCACGCATGTCATAGTACATACTCAGAGCTTCCTCGCTGTAACCATGAAGTGCATAACCTGCAATGATAGTATTCCATCCTACTGTTGTCTTCCGCGGCATCTCATCGAAAACACATTGAGCATCTTCGATACTCCCACACTTGCTGTACATATCGATCAACGCACAAGGCACAAAAATATCAGAACCCAGCCCCATCTTCAAACAACAGGAATGAAACTGTTTTCCAGCAAAAATGAGTGCCAAACCAGCTGATGCCCGAATCATGGCGGCAAAAGTCCGCGATCCAGCGTCAGAAAATTCGTGCCACATAATTTGAAACAAATGGAAGGCCTCCATGAAATTCCCCGAATCCACAAGGCCCCCGATTATCGTGTTCCAAGAAACCTGGTTTCTCTCAGGCATTTCCTCGAACAATCTACGTGCATCAATCATCATCCCGCATTTCACATGCATAAGAAGCACCCTGTTCCTCATATACTGATCCAATTCAAACCCATTACTAATCATGTAACTAGAAACCCTCTTAACCCCCCTAATCGATTTCAAACTAATGCAAGCACTCACCAAAGCGTCGTACGTATGACCCGCCAATTCATACCCACCTTCAAACTCCAAAATCTCGAACAATTCAAGCGCTTCCCGGTACCGACTACACAAAACCAGCTTCTCAATCTGACTACAAAGCCCAGAATTGCGTTTCACGATCTGGGTATCTTCCAAAGGCGCCGCCTTCGGCTCATCGACCTCGATTTTCGACGGCACGGGCTTCGGACGCGGCTTCAGCTCCTGCTCCACGGAAGAACACTTGATATGCAGCAATGGGTTCCTCCATTTTCGTCGACTGAATTGGAAACAGTACCCAGAAAACAGAGATAACGATCTCCGCCTGAAGAACTTAGGATCCGAGAACGAAAAATGTAAGCTGGATCCGCTCTGGAACTGATCCAACGCTATATTTTCGTAGCGCAAGAGTGGGATCTCCATGATTTGAAACATGGAACTAGATCAGCGAATCAGAAATGGAGCTGGTGAGGAAAGTTGGTACCCTTGAAACGGAACACCGGAGTCTCTCCGTTCAGTGAAACGACGAGGTTGCGGTTGGGAGGAGAGGAGAGGAACGGTGCGGTTTCAGGGTGGAAAGGAGGAGAGTGAGGGGGACGAAGGGGTCGGCGGTGTAGGAGAGAGGATCAGCATTGGGAATTCCGCCTGGAAAATTCGGATGCGCCTAGTTCGAAGTTGCTGACCTTCCAACTGAAAAGCTTCTATATTTCTGTGCAGGCGCTGGAGTAGACCGGTAAACGGTCGGATTTATTGGGTTTGGGTCGGTTGAACTCAACCTATTAATTTAACGGGTCACTCGAATCTAACCTGTTAAGCTAACGGGTCATCCGAACCTAACTCGTTAAGCCTAATAA